TCTTCTTCTTCTTCTTCTTCTTCTTCTTCTTCTTCTTCTTCTTCTTCTTCTTCTTCTTCTTCTTCTTCTTCTTCTTCTTCTTCGTCTTCGTCTTCGTCTTGGTCTTCTTTATACACAGGGGCCATGTTAATCTTGTCTGTATCATCCCAATGTTAACCAAATCCCGAAGGACTTCTTCGTTTCTTATACTTTTCAAACTTTCATTTTCCTTTTTTTCTCCTTTTTCTCTTCTTCTTCTTCTCATTCTTCTTCTTCTTCTTCTTATGCAGGGAGGACTTGTGAAAGCAGGATTTGAAGTGGCGCAAATGTGGCTGGACGGCAACGATGTTATTGTGAATACGGTTGATCGCGGGGGATCTCCACAGCCAATCAGCCTCGTCAACAGTCATGCGTTGACGGCGGATCCTCTTATCGTTTTGGTATATCTCTGGAGTCTGTACCTTTCATTACCGAAAGAGTCTCTCGTTGTCCCAAACAAAGTGAACGGAGGACCAGCGGGCCTTAGGCTAGCTCAGTTGGTACACCCATGAACTGTTAAAATGAATGAAGACCTGAGTTCGAATCCCAATCAACTCAGATGAGGAAATCAGTGTGAAATTGTGAATTAATTAACCTGGGGCTGGTCAGTTTGAAGATGATATCTCAAGTCCGTCGCACTTAAAAAAAAAAGAAAGAACGAACAGACACTGCAGTAATTGCTGAAGGATGCTTGCTGGGATAACTTCAAAAAAGTTAAAAGTTAATTTAGTTAAAGCCATTCATCATTGCTGTGCTGTGCTGGTTTTGAGGAAGAGAAGGAAGAGGAAGATGTGGCGGGAGAGGAGGAGAATCAGGAGATGAGATAGGGGAGAAAGGGACAGTAAGACAAGATAGAGGAGATGTAGTGGGTAAGGAGGAAATGAAATTGTTGTGGGGGGGGGGGAAGAGAACAGTCGCAGGACTATCACAACATTTGCGATGAGATGATGTGTGAAAGCGCTCTCAAATTCTCACTACCGTCTTCACCGGAATAGAACGCCCGGTCATTATAGAAAATTGCACCAGATACGGCTATAATGACCGGGCGTTCTATTCGGGTGAAGACAGTAGTGAGAATGTCTAACCTTTGATGATGTTATAATGGACTTATTAACGACCGCATCTGTGGAGTTTGATCACTATGCGGATGTGGTGGGGATGCCTTGTCAAAAATCGATGAAGAGAGAGGCTGCCAGTTCACGAACATCAGTCATTGATGGACTGAGAGCTACACTCTAGTGGGGCTATGTATGTGCTTAGAAAGCATGAACCTGGTCATAAAAAGGGGTGATGTTCGTAATTTTTTAGCAGAAACGTAGATCTCAATCGGTACTGGTCCTGATCCCGATGAAGCAAAGGAAATAAAGTCTGCACTAGAGGGCTTGTTCTGGTGAAGCAAATGAGTACCTAGTAGTATGTAGGTTGGTAGGCACGACTTTCCGGGGCAGCGCCACCATCTATGGCAGGGTTACATTCTTCCCCCGAATACAACGTATGGTCATTATAGCTGTATTTGAGGCATCTTTCAGTCTAGATACAGCAGCTATAATGACCGTACATTGTATTTGGGGGAAGAAGGTAGGCTGTCATTCTCAGGGTTCTCCTTGTGCTGCGTTGTGTTGAAGTAATTTTGTTGTTGTTGTTTTTAAGGACCCTCGTTATGACATTTTGTTGAGACTGCAGTGCGGTGCTGCGCTTATGTTCTGCCTGAGTGTTGTAGATGGGGCATCTGCACAGGCGGGATTTGCCAGTTGGGTGGGGCGGGGGAAGGAGGTGGGGGGGGGGGGGGGGGGGGGGGGGGTGGGGGGGGGGGGGGGGAGGAGGGCTTGGTTTTCGTTGGTGTGTGAAACAGCCTCGCGCATACGGACTTGATAACCTCTGTGTATTACAGTGCTACAAATGGGCTTAGCTCAGTTGGTACACCCATGAACTGTTGGAAAAAAAAAAGAAAAAAAAAAGCAGACCCTACGTGTTTGAATCCAGATACCACCAGGTGTCCACAATAAACTCTCCTTTTCAGGTCACCTCCTGTGTTGGACAATGTGAGAGTGTTGAATAGCCGTCTATTGCAGATAACCAAGATTATGTGAGACAGTGAGAGTGCACTTGGGACTCCCCCAATACGTTGCCAAGTGTTCGGCCACAGGTCGTCAACAGGACGTTCGGGGGTCGTGGCACTTCGCTTGGCAGGCCGATCATAAAATTCAGCAACGGCGACCCCGACCCAAACCCGCTGAAAACCCGCTGAAGGTTGCAGCCGAACATGTGCCAGGCAAAAAATATTGCCTGGGAAACCTACTGGTAGTTTAATGTGTGATTCCCTAGAGGCCTACCTTCTTCACCCGAATAGAACGCTGTGTCAATATCGCTGCATCTGGACTGAAAGTTGATCCAAATGCAACTATAATGACCGGGCCTTCTATTCAGGTGAAGACGGCACTACAAGCGCATACAAAATTTCATGAGGGCCAGCCGCACTGCGCCTGTCAACATGTACTTGGACGTGCAGCAGAACAGGTGCAGATCATGAACCTGCTGGCTGTGCAGGGTACATTCTGGCAGGGAGAGCCTACAGGCGGACTTGTACCAGAGACCTTTCCCTTACTAAGAGAATGCTCTACCATCTGAGATACGTGGACTCGCGCGGAAATTTGTCTGAGGATGATCGAGCTTGCAGCCTTGAACCGATAACTTTGCAGTTGCTAAACATGTGTGTTGTACCACTTGTATTACACCCCCAGCGGAGGAAATGGGATGTGGAGAAACTTTCCCGGCTCAATGCCGATTTTTCACCGAGTTCAGAGTTGGGGCCCTCGAGTAAAGTAAAGGAGATCCTCGCTCAGAGGATGGGCAAAGGATGGTGGAGGGGGCAAAATAAACTCAGAGCAACCCTTGTTTGCTGTGCACTTGTTATGGGTGGTGTAACTGGTGTTGCAGGTGAATGAAGGCAGTGCTAGCGCAAGCGAGATTCTCGCCAGTGCGCTTCAGGACAATGGACGAGCATACCTTCTGGGGCAGAAGACATATGGGAAGGGGAAAATCCAGGTACGATATTGGTACAGCATAGAAACATCACAACACTCACACACACACACAGACACAGAGAGAGAGAGAGAGAGAGAGAGAGAGAGAGAGAGAGAGAGAGAGAGAGAGAGAGAGAGAGAGAGAGAGAGA